ATTTCCCCAAAAAGCAAAGAGTTACTGGACAGCCAAACAGCAGGTAAAGGATCATGCCGTTATATTACTGTCACATATAGCTTTGTGATAATGCTGTGCAGCATGCACTTAACATGACAGTTTTTGGGCTGTCCTGGTTTGCATACTGATTTATTTTAGGAATAAATGATGTACCTATCAGGCAGGCAGAAGTAGCCAAAGGTAATTTAATTGTGCCTCTCTGAAATCTCAGGAAAATCCCACTGGGTGTTTACTGAACCAGTCTACTTGCTGCTACATCCAGAGCTGGGCCCATGCTGTGAAGTTGGGATCCTGTGCCAGCCGTTCCCTCCATGCTGGATCTGTCATGCCAGAGCTTGCTGCTGGCCCGTTCTAAAGACAGTAAAAAGCTGTACAAGAACATACACACACCCATCACCATCCATTGCTTGAGATACTGGCATCCTTCTGAGGGCTGTAAAGTACATTTACACACGTGTGCATATGCACACGTGCATGTTAACCCCATAGGTGCACCACAGCATTCCTAAGCATTTGGCTGCTTCAGGGAGATGCCATTAAGGTCTTCACCCTAACTGCCTTGCAGTGAGGCAGAGAAGAGGGAGGATTTCCTCTAGGATAACCTTACAGCTCTCTACTGGAGACCAGGAATGGTAGCTCTGCATTGCTAAAACGCAAAGCTCGCATCTGGCACTGGAAAAGCTCCCAGCTTGAGGCCTCACCGCTGGGCACTGCTAATGGCCGCAACCTTTTTTGTACCCATTTTAAAAGCATTTTAAGATAACAGTTTCTCACCTTTGGAATCTTAGAAAGCGGATTCATCCCAATACTAAATAAAGCATGGAACTTGGCAGGTAAAAAAAAGCTTTTAAAAGTAAATACAATTTTTTTTTTCAAAACTTCTCTAGCTTTTTCTCTAGATTTCTGTAAGGTATGTAACACATTCAGTATACATGCTGTGGGCTAAAACAAACACCTGACTGGCATTTGTACAGATGGCCTATATAAATCATGCAGAAGGCACACTAACACCCTCCCAAAAATCTCATTTGTTTCTTCTCTTTTATCAGTAGGTGTGGTTGCCTTCGTATCTATACATATGTATACATACACATATATGTGTATACATATACAGAGAAATGAGAGAGGTCTGACTCCTGAAAGAGTAGATTATGTATGCCTATGTGTGTGTATTTTTGCATTTATACACACATATACGTATATGTATGTACATATATATAGACAGATACACACACGTATATATATCTGTATACATACAAACACATAGGAAAGTGTAAATACCTACACACACATACATACATGATTTGCTCTTCAGGATTCAATCCACTCATTTCTGTAGATAAACAGAGCACAACAGTAAATTAGAAAAATAACATTTAAAAAAAATAGTTGCACTCTTTCAATTATATAAAGTTAATGCAACTTGACTACTAGCTCTACTTATCTCCGTTGTGACAATTAATCTGATCCTAAAGACTCCCTTGCTGTAACGCTTGCCTCTTGGAAATGAACAGGAGGAGGATGTTCTATAAATCACAGAGCTGGTGCAGTGTAGACAATATCAACACTGAATGTGACAGATACTGATCTCAAAGCTAAGGAAATAAAAAGAAATATATTAATAATTGATAAAATTTACATAGGAAAACAAAAATAAACAAAAGATCAATCATTTTGATTCCAGTGGGACTGTAAAATGTGGAGAAAACAAGTCATACGGAATGTTCCAATAAAAAAGAATACTGAATATACTCTATATACAATACAACAAACTGCATTGCTTCCCCACTGAGGATGTTAAAATCTTCAACTGTTGCTAGGTAATCTTGCCTATGAAATAATTGTCCTAACCAAAAAGTCATGTGCAATAATACTTAATAACAACAAAAAGCGGAACAAAAGCAAGTTGACATTTGGGCAAGATATTCAAGAGTTTTTCTAGAGGGGAAAATGCATCAGAATAGCTATTATCAAATACACTCTACTTTAACTATTCCAAGATCATCTCTTGTACACACACACTAGTCTTGAAACAAAATCACTTAATTCTGGGACAGTCTGTGTGCTTTCAAGGCAGAGCTCCTTTCTTGTAATAAATTTACTTTAATCCAGAATCTAGTATCTACCCACAGAGTTTTTCTGGAATGGCTTCCAGTAAATTTTTCCGTGAATAGAAATTTTACATCAAGTACTTTTGTGAAAAATGTTATGAAATGTACTCAGGAAGAGTTCTGTGTAAGTGGCACAACACATAGTAAAACCAAGCATAGTTACTGCTCTAATCTTTTGCTAACTGGCAGTCTAGCTTTGGTTTATCTCAGACATCTGCAATTCTGCTATTCTAGCTGAAAAATGGTGATTATATCATAAATACTCCTCAATGGAATGAGCTTAAGCACCTGCTTAAGTACTTTGCTAATACCTGGCTTCAACTAGCAAATTGGAGCAATAAGCAGTCCCAGTCATGATATTGACTGCATTTTGCCATGCTGTTTAGTACCCTGATTCCATAATATTTTCATTTCCTACCCTCACCAATTGGCTAAGATTAAGACATCACAACTGGGCAGTCCTATTCAAGATTTAGAAAAAGATGATTTAAGGAAAAAGATGCTTCGTGGGACAGTCTTTAATATATTTCACTATTTCTCATGCTTTTGAAACATGCCACAAAGCAGGGTATATTTCAAATTTTTTCAGCTCTACCAGTACAGCTTTCTAGCCGAAACTTTTTTCTTTCTCTTCCTTACAGAAACAGCAGAAGATTCTCCTCTGTTGTGGAGCTGATGAGTCTTCTTCTCCTGATATTGCTCCTCAGTTTATTGTGTCCCCTCTATAATTTGAATTCTACACTTATCTACCTTTCTGTGATAGTCAAGGGTTTCCATGATCTTCTGTCCTTACGGCCCATAATTCTATTAAGGAAAACAGAGTCTTTCCATGAATTGTTGGTCAGTTAGTTTCATCTTAAGGATAGCTGGCATGAATGGATTTTTTCCCCCTTTTTGGAACAAGGTGGTAAAATTTGGTTATGTTTACATGCATTTTTCTGCTGAGTTCATTGAGGCCCAGAATTCATTCTAGGGACCTTAAAGCCTGATTGACCTGAACAACCTAGGTCATTTAATGGTGATAAGGGAGAGTTTTTAATTACCAAAGTTCAAGGTATGAGTTTCATTACAAACACCAAAAATAGCACGCAGTCATCCTCCCTGTACCTTCCATGGTTGACATCAACAGTACTGAGAAAAAGGCAAAGTATGACTTTGGAAAGTACAGAAAGGCATGTGACATCTTTATTTTAAATAATTTTCTGTTATTTAAGCAAAATGAGATTGAAAATATCTCATGGATATAAGGTTCCTTACAGCTCCACACCTTCTCCAGACCCTGGGCTACATACAGGTTGCAAATGTGGGAACTGGAAACTTGGCTGTCTCAGAGCCACGCTACCAACTTCCACTGGAGCCTTGACCAAGTCACGCGTTAACTGTCCTGCCTTGCCTTGCCTTGTCTGTAAAATGGGAACAATTGTGTTCACCAGCCCATTTAACAAGGCCACTGTAAAATTTACTTACTTAATGTCTGTGAAGAGACTAAAACCAGAAACTAGAAGGGCTAGGAGAATAGTCAGCTTCATTCAGCATTACTTTATTTGGGTAGCCAGTTGGCTGATTCCTAGGGTGGCAGTAAGAGGTTGACCCATTTGGCAAAAGCTAATGTTATTTATATTTGTCTTACACTGAAAATTAATGTCCCTGTGGCTTGGGTTTCAGGCTAAGCAGCTTGTATTCCATATCACAAAGCCAGCAAACACCAACACCACCAGCTCTTCACATCTCTAGGTAAGAGCAAATACAAAAACCATTGTTGGGGAGCGAAAGGGGACTGGGGGGAAGGCCATACAAAAAGAAATATTTCAGAAAATGCAGACCTATCATTTGGATAGGACCCCTATGACCTCATGACATCACATGGGGTATGTTAAATTAGATGATCTAAATAAGACAACACATTAACAGACTGAGCACTGTTTTGGAAGCCACAGAGCTCTGAATCCAGTTCTTCTACCTACTAACTGGGTGGCCTGTGCAAGAAATTTCATCTTTTTGGGTCCACCTTTTCAGTCTCTAAAAGGGAACTATAACTACCTCATGAGACCTGGGCAGTACCACTAGGTAATATTTCTACAAAACTTAAAAGGAAACAAAAAGGTACATGTTGCATAACTGCTATTAGCTTTATTAACTTAAATCACCAGACAGCTGTTCCTCAGCTAGTCAAGTTCATTTTTAATCTCAGACATATCCCTCTGTCACTGCTTTCATGAAGAAAAAAGGCTCACTGTTTCACTCCGTGCCCAGTTTTACTATTACCTGGATGCTTCCTCCAATATAAAAATTAACATATGAGTAACAGAAAATGCCAGTGTAATGACAAAGGTTCATTTCTATCTTTTACTCTAATTAAAACAATTCTATCTATGTTACATAGATGACATCTATCTACATAGAGCTCTATCTGAAGATGCAGTCTTTGTATAATCTCTGAGGATCTCACATGGTAAACAACTAAACAACAGCTGTGAAAACATCTAGAGCACTTTACAGTTATTCTTATACGAAGATCTGGAAATACTATATAATATAATTATATACTATATTATATAATATATAATATAAACATGAAAATTATTATTCGTACTGGTGGGGAAACTGAGGCACAGCTAAAATGACATGGCCATGGCCGCACAGAAAGTTAGTGGCAGAGCAGAAAGAGCAGCTCCTGAACCTCGTGAACCCCTAGCCCCGACTTAAAAGTACTGCTCCTTTCAGCTTATACCTCTCCCGTCAAACTTAACATCAAATAGGAGATAGTCCGCACCGCACAGTCATTCCCTTCCCTTCTCCCTTGACAACAGGGATGCTCATCACAGCTTACCCACCCCAACCTGCCAGTCCCCATCCCCCTGTACCCACCTGCTTGTAGGCGTCCAGGAGGAAGCTGTTCCAGCCACAGCGCAGCCCCTCCGAGGTCAGCATCCTCCGCCACTCACCGCGCCCAGACTTAGACCGGCTCAGAAATAGCAGCATGTGCTTCAGGAGGATCACAGAGTCATACAGCGCAAGGAAGAGGCAATTGGAGAAAAAGACCGGCAAGATCTGAAGCGTGATCAGCAAATCCACACTTAACAGACCCATCTTCCTTGCTGCTTCTCTTCAGCCGGGTGCCTTCAGCTCCCTTTTTTGCTTTCTACCCTCATTTAAAAAAGTAAATTAAAAAGCATTTCAAAAGCCTTGTTACCCCTCTCTCAGCTGCTCTCTTTAAAGTGAGCAGAGATAGTTAAATATGAGCAGGCTGGTTAAAACCATAACTGCATGATACTCATTCAACTCGGAGCTGCCTATTTTTCAGAAACTAAGATGTTAACAAAAATTCTTCCCTTAACCAGGAGACCTGATTTTGTTGAAGAGAGAGACAGCTGTGTCTCCAGTTCCCTGCAGTTACAAAATTTAAGCTGAGACTGTTAATTGTTAACTTTCCTGCACTATCCCATTGTTTCTCAGCTATTTAAGCACTGAACAGACCTCATTTCTGTGTCAGTAAGGCTAGCTACCAGGTGCAACAATACTTTTTTTAAAAAAGGTTTATGTACATAAACTTTCTGTTCCTTCCTTCACTCTCCCCCCCCCCCCCCCCCCCCCCCCCCCCGCCTCTCTGTAGTCCTGCCTTCCTCCTCTCGCCCTCTCTTGCTATCTGCCTATGGTGCAAAGTGCTTTCCCCTCTGGAGTCCTAGCTTGCTTCCCTGAAGCCTTTTATACATTCCCTAGCTAATTGCTGCAATAGAGAAATGAAACCCTAATCTTAGTAAAGATCTTGACGTCAATGTAAAAGAGGGCTTTACTTTGGCCAGTACTGCAGTGAATAGAAAAATGAAATTCTCAAAACTTCTTTTTTCTTTTTTTTTTTTTAAGAGAGAGGAGAAAAAAGGGAGACAGACAGCAAGGGTGGAACTTTGCTTTGCTTTGAAAAGGAAAAAGAAAAAAAACAATATGCTTCTGACTGCTCTTATGAAATGCTTTCAAATTTTGGAAAAAGTATTTTCATATGACATGGAAGGTGACACAGCAATGCAGGCTTCTGTTGTCAATGTTTTTTTTCTCATGGCTGTTTTTTTTCCTTTGCCCTTTTGTCTTTTCCAGGAAGGTGTGTGAGTTGATGCATCCCAAGAAAGGGCACATTTCCGTACATTTTCCTCCCACCTCCATGAAGTACAACATGTGTAGTGTTTAAATATCCTTTGTTGTCTTCTTGGTATTTAAGGAAACATAAGTAAACACCCAGCACTGACTTCATCTACTGATATGTAAGAGAAGAAGATAAGAAAGAGAGAAAAAAAGTTTTTGAAGGATTTGGGGTTTTTAAGCTAAAGTTCCCCACTTAAAAATAGTTTGCTACAGCCTTAAATGCTGTTAATCAACTGAGCTTCAAGGACTTTAATATTTCCCTATGATAACTATTTACATCCACTAGCCTAATAAGGATAACTAACTTTTGGTTAAAAGCTTATTAAAAAAACCCAGAAAGAAAGAAGTTTCATCTGGCAGAGCCCTGTGTGTTTAACAACCACAAGCATCCCCTGCAGCCCCATGCTGAAGGTTTGCTTTGTTTATATGCACTTCTCTTTGTTTCACCTTTTTAGTCTGGTATTTAGTCCTCTTTCCATGTGGGTGTTTTGGTTTTTTTTGTTACAGTAGACACATTTTGTTTCAGTTTTTTTTAGCATGGTTCTAACTTCCTTAGGTATTTCATGTATTTCATGTTGCAGGCATCCATAATTTTGTTTTTGAGTGGATATCTTCCCTATGTGCTTATGTAGACTCTCCTCACCAGATACATTTCATTCCCAGGGATGCCAGCATTATATCTAACCTCTGTCAACTCACATCCTTGATGAGTAGTACAAGCTTCCTTCATTAATATATCTTAGTTTTTCATCAGTCATCACTATCCTTTCACTGCTAGCAACTGCAGAAGGTAAACACCATCAATCTTCCCTAATCTGGGGTCTTTCATTTTCAGACATTGTAACATCACTTGGGCTGTCATTATACTAGGATGCATACCTCTAGAAAGGCCACCCCGTGTCTTGTCTTGGGCTCACCAAAGAAAGGTTTGTTTAGGTAGCATAATATCAGGCATTTGCAAAAGATATCACCCAGACAGGATATCTTCCAGCAAATGTTTACTCAAAGAAATAACTTTAAAAGGTTATGCACATTAAACCAGTGACCTTCTGCGTTACTAGCATAAACAAAAAAAGGAATTGAGTTTCTTTTTCAAACTACAACAATTTTTAAGTCGAAATGTTGGTGGTGACAGTGTTCTGTTGCCATAGAAAGGATTGCAACCTCAGATCTGGCTTTATTACTAAAACTTGCAAAAACACGTTATAAGCAGGCATTTATATATCCCCACACATGGATGAGTCAGCGTGCTCATGTCATGTGAGCGCAACACAGGAACAAGGGTCCCCAGAGCTGCTAAACTAGCTTACTGTCTGACCTCAGGCAAGCATATGTAATCACTTGATTACAAGCACTCTTAAGCCGAGATTACTCTTCTGTAGATCCACCATTAAAACATACATGATTCTGTCTGGGAAGGTCCCCTTTCTTTATTTTGGGAAGGTTTGTTAAAAGGCAGGCCTGGAGATTGTTGATGATGATGCCAGATGAATCATCAGCCATTGTTTCTGAGAACAGTTTGCAAACAGCTCTGAGGACAGTCCGGCTCAGGCTCTTCCTGTTCCCCGGAGGTAAAGTCAGGCAAGAACCTACGCTGGGAACACAATGTATTCTGGGTTCCTGTGAAACAACTGCCCCTACCCACAGCGTGCTTCATGGGTGAAGAGGTTGTTTGTAAGACAGCTGGAGACCAGACTGCTATGGAGCTTTGAAGTGCATCGGAAGCTGAGCAGGAATCCCATGGAGCACTAGTGTGAGATGGTATTTTATATTTACTACGTCACCTTCCTTGCCTATAAGGCAGACTCTGTGTATCAAGTTAAACAGAACTACCTCAGATTGTGTGTTTGAGAGCTTCGGTCAAGAGATGCTGATAACTACCTAATCCAACCATAAAGACAAAAATATTTAGCCTAAATAAAAATGTAAAAAGACAGTTTCTGCCATTGCTGTCTTCAGAAGCATTCTGTCCCTGCAGGGCACAAGCACTGCTGCTCAGCTTGACAGTCAGAGTACAGCAGCCCTCAAAAGAGAAGGAAGGCGTAATTCCTGCTTCTTCTTGTTGATACCGCTTCTCTCCTTCATGGCTGAAACAATTCATCCCTGTGTTTACTTCTCTCAGACATCAAAAATACAAGGAAAACCACTATTTGCATCTTTTGTGAAAGACGGGTATCTGCAGCATAATGTCAGTGTTGAAGCCAACGGTCTCTTTTTATTTCCCTGCAGACCTTCATGAAGCAAGGAAGAAAGGCTAGATCTTTCATACCTCAAGGCATTAAGCGAGCCTTTACTCTCGTGAAGGAAAACTGGATGAATTTGATACGTGAGGAAGAATTAGGCAGGGTTGAAGATACGCATGAAAGAACTGAGATAGGGTTCAGCTAAAGCTCATTTCAGTTACCTGCTCTGCCATACCTTGCTATATAATTTGGGCACAGCCCTACAAAGTACCTCAGTTCTCCATCAGCAAAAGAAAATAGAAGTCCTGCCGTAATCTAAGGAGCAGTCAGGTTCAGTAATGGGAAATTAAACATATCATCCATAATTTGTCAAGGTGGAATGAGCAAAGCCAACAACATTAAAGCATTCACTGTAACTAGACCTTGTATGTGGCTAAAGTCAACAGTATCGGTATAGATGTTCATATTCTGTAATGTTTATGGAAATCAGAGCCATCAAAACCGTATCCATGCATAGCTTCATGTTTCTTCCCAGTTTCAACCACAGTAGCATGAAGATTGGGACACGGGCAGCTAGTAAGTTTGTTTACTGCAACTCGCTTGATAACTGCCTAGACACAGGAAATTTGAGGTGGATTTACTACTGCTCAGGCCACTTTCTCTGATCTCATTTTATAGTGGAGCCATACTAGCTTTCTGCATGTCAGATAGAGTATTTTACAGCCTTTACTTGGTTGTGTAGGTCTTTACTTGTTTGTGGCTGAACTACTTGCGTAGGTTGCCACGGCACTCAATTGCACTGTATCTAGGTACCTAAATGCAAGACCCTAGAGCCCAAAACAAGCAGACTGATATTTTGGTTACTCAGCCTTATTTTCTCAGATTAAGCAAGACCAATTTGAACACAGTTACTCTTTGCGACACGGCTGGGAAAGGGTACCTCACAGTGACAGGCAAGCAAGACTGCTGCTCCTGTCCTACCCCCAGGAGGTACATGGGAGAGATCATCCCAAGGGATTCAGCACAACCTGTGTGCCTGCCTTGCTGCTTCTCACTGCTTTCACTGCCAAAACCAAAGAATGAAGCTTTTTGTTTGAGAGCTAGTTAGTGTGTCCATGAGCTTATCCCTGGAGAATTGGGCAGCTGCAGAGTGATATGGCTAGAGATGGGGAGGAGAAAGTTTAGCTTAGTTTTGCCTCCCTGGCCCTGGGCAAAATTTGTTTATTACAGCCAAACAAGAATTTGTGCCTCTCATAAAACTGCATTTTTTCTCATTGCCAAAAGAGAAAAATCTCCCCCTTCTCTCAGCAACAATTCCCTCACTTAAAATGCCATGGAGCGTTGACTGACTGTATTTCCACTTTTTGATTAGGATCAGCAGCGTATTTTCCTAAAGAAATAATATATTCAATGAAAAATGAAATTTTTCAGGCCAGTCACAGTGATACCTGGATGGATTACCCATGGCGTGGATTCACCAGGCCCTGCCTTCCTCCGTCACTCCTGGCCGCAGCACCACGTCTGAATGGAGCAACGTTCATCCCGCTGGCACCCAGCCCCATTCTGCCTGCTTAAAGCTGCCTCTGTTCTCTACAGGAATCCGCTTACCAGCCATTCAAAGGTGAGTGCACTAAATATATCCTTACTGCCTAACTTATTTACCTTTTGTATCAGCCTTGGTTTTGTTTTATTTGGGTTATTCTACCACTGCCATTATGCTGCATAATTGAGAGTTGATTATTCTGTGAAACTGGCAGCTGTGAGAGGTGC